ACACACACACACACACTCAAACACACTCACACTCTCTCTCTGACACACACACACTGTTGTCATCTGAGAGTAGCTGTTGCCACAACAGTCATGAACTCTACAATCATTTTAAGACAATGTATCTGGTATTTCTGGAGAAATATGAATGAAATATTTTTCCTAAAACAATTCCAAAATGTATGAAACGGATTGAAATATACAGAAAAAAACAATCCGGAAACAGAAAATATGAACTGTGAATTGATTGGATGGTGAAAGTGCACAATAAATAAGAGCAATGGATGGTTGAGTAAGTCTCTATATTCAAATTATGAAGACAAATGCTGATTTCTTTAAATAATGTTACTGATTATTAATCATTCCCAATAAGACCAGAACATGAAATAACTATAGAGTAATTTTGATTTGAAGTGTACACTACTGTTCAGAAGTCTCTTCTGCTAGGCATTTATTTGATCAGAAATACAGTAAAAAGAGTAAAATATTACTATCATTTAAAATAGCTGTTTTCTATGTGAATATACAGTAAAATGTAAGTTCTTCCTGTGATCAAAGCTGAATTTTTGTGTCAACCGTGATACGCTATACCTTAAAAAATAAAAGAAAGAAATTACTACTTTTATTGAGCAAGGATGCATTACATTGATCAAAAGTGACAGTAAAGATATTTATAATGTGACGAAAGATTTCGATTTCAAATAAATGCTGTTCTTTTGAACTTTCTATTCATCTGTGAATCCTGAAAAATAAAATGCGTCACAGTTTCCACAAAAATATTGTGCAGCACGACTGTTTTCAACATTGATAATAATCAGAAATGTTTCTTGAGCAGCAAATCAGCATATTAGAATGATTTCTGAAGATCATGTGACACTGAAGTCTGGAGGAATGATGCTGAAAATTCAGCTGCGTATCACAGAAATAAATTACTTTAAAATAGCGTTACTGATGAATGATTCCCAATAAGACCAGGATCAAGAATGAAGTAAATCGAGTGGTTTTGATCTGCAGTGTTTTGACTGTTGAATGCTGTATTCCAGCGCTCCACATTTCCAGATCTGGCTCGTGGTCAGGATGCTCTTCCAGAATGATTTAGGCTGGTTTTCCAGCACATTCTTCACTCGCGTCTGTACTCCTCCTCCAGCTGGAGCGTCTCGGTGTTGCTGTGGATCATCGGCGGCTCGCTTTAGGCCTGCAGCTTGTCGAAGCAGCTAAAGCATTCTGCGGCCAGTCTCCCGCCGGTCGTGTCGGACAGCACAGGTCTGAACTCGCAGCCCCACAGGATCTCCTGCGGCAGGTAAGACATGCGGCTCTGGCAGCTGGCAGCCTTTGAGCGTCACCAGCAGCTCCAGGTCTTGTTTGGGCAGGTTCTCGGCCGTGAGGCTCCTCAGCGGGCTTCGCTCGTCCAGCACGTGATAGAAGGTGAGCGGCAGCAGCAGGAACGGACACTCCGCTGCTGGTGATCGGGTGAGTCAGCCACTCAGTTTGTCTCTGATTTAAGAAGTCTTGCCGAGCCGTGCAAATTCGGAGCTCTCCGTGACGAATTAATTAGAGACCAACTTATTGAAAAAACAAACAGTGCACGGGTCAGAGAGAGACTGCTTATGGAAGATGATAAACTTACTTTGGATAAGGCTCTCACTCTGGCACTCCAAATTGAAGAAGCTACACAGTGTGCAGCTAAAATAGCGGAGTCTGATGCAGCTAAAACTGATGTCACCTCTGTACCTGCAAATACAGTCATGGATGAGGAGCTCCAGCCTGCAGGTGCAATCATCCAGCAAACACAGCCACAGTCAAGTCAACAAAGACGGAGGTGTGGCAACTGTGGCTCCATTCGTCATGCCAACAGGTCCCCAGACTGCCCAGCTATTGGCCAAAAGTGTAGACATTGTGGTAAGCTCAACCACTTTGCAAGGTGGTGCAGATCAAAGTCCATTTCGTTAACCCATGCGTGACAAGGTCACCACTGAACTACAGGGCATGCTAGCTGCAGACCTCGTTGAGCCCATTGATGCTTCTCCTTGGGTCTCAAATCTTGTGATTGTGCAAAAACGGTCTGGGGGCATACGTCTCTGCGTTGACCTTCGGGAGCCGACAATTGAAGAACTCACAACACTCTTCTATGGCTCCTCGGTGTTCACAAACGCTGGATCTCAAGCAAGGTTACATGCAGATACCCCTACACGAGGACAGCAGATACCTGACTGCATTCGTGACTCACATGGGGTTGTTCCGTTTCAAGAGGATCCCTTTTGGCCTAAGTTCAGCACCTAGCTGCTTTCAGAAAATCATGGCTACTGTCCTAGCAGGACTTCTGGGTACGACTGTGTACTGAGATTATATTGTAGTACATGGAAAGGATGTGTCCACTCATGATGAATGCCTCGGACGGGTGTTCACAGCTCTGTCTAGACACAATCTGACATTGAATACAGAAAAATAAGCGTTTGCTGTCCCAGCAATAGACTTTGTGGGTCTTCGGGTGTCCAGCTCAGGTATCACACCATTGCAGTCCAACGTAGAGGCCATTCTTAACCTTCCCGTGCCAGCCTCAGGTAGACAGCTTGCATCCTTCCTCGGCATGACTGCTTACTATCTCAGGTTCTTACCTCAGTATTCTGAAATCACTGCCCCTCTACGACAGCTACTCAAGCATAACACCCCCTGGGCATGGACAGCGGATTGTGAGCAGGCTATTCGACGACTCAAACACCTTCTCACGTCACCACCAACTCTAGCTCATTTTGATCTCTCCAGCCCCACCCTGGTGACATGTGACGCTTCAGCAGTGGCAGTCGGAGCAGTCTTGTCACAGCTACATGGTGGCATTGAACAGCCTATTGCTTTTGCTTCACGGGCTCTGAGTACTGCTGAACAGAAATACTCAGTGGGAGAGAGAGAGGCGTTGGCGTGCATTTGGGCATGTGAGCGCTGGCACATGTATTTATATGGACGAACCTTTACTCTCAGAACAGACCACCAGGCTCTCGCTACCCTCATGTCCTCTGCTGGAACGGGTCACAAGCCCCTCAGGCTCCACCGATGGGCTGACAGGTTGAATCAGTACAACTACCAGCTGCTGTTCACTCCCGGAAAAGACAACGTGGTTGCAGATTTCCTGTCCCGTTCAGCTGCGGAGCCGACTAGCCCAGCCAAGCAGCCGGAGTCAGATATAGAGAAGGAGCTTGTGCAGTTAGTTTATGAGCCCTTACCAGCCGCAGTGTCTCTTGAAGAACTTAAGCGAGAGTCTGCAGCAGACCCACTCTTCGTTCCCCTCAGCACCTACATTCGGAACGGCTGGCCAGCTCAGGTGAGCGCTGACCTGACACCTTTCTCCTGAGTCAGGGCAGAACTGACATGTTGGGGTGAGTTATGCATTGCACGGAGGCACCGAGCAGTCATTCCTCTGTCCCTTAGGGGGCGGGGGCGAGGGTCATGCTTTGCTGTAAAGTTGCTTTGCAATGATTTGTATCATGAAAAGCGCTATACAAATAAACTTGAATTGAATTGAATATATGTATCGCCTTCTACCATCCTCAAGCTAATGGCGGTGTGGAAAGATTTAATCAAAGTCTGAAAAATGGCATACGTGCACACCTTGCCCAAGGTTTCCCATTTAAGGCTGCTTTCTCCCAGACCCTCTTGCATTATCGCGCTAACCAACATGCCACCACCGGGGTGTCCCCTGCCAGTCTCATGCTTGGCAGGGAACTAGAATTACCGTTGAGCAGGCTGCGCCCACCTCGTCAGCTCCCAGTGAACACTTTGACTCGGGCACGAGTTCATCAACGTCAGTGCAACATGAGAGCCAGATATGACAGCAAGCATCATGTTCGGCCCATAAAGATAAGAGTACAGGATTGGGTAAGAGCCCATAGGCTACATCGCAGCAATAAACCGAGCTCTTTCCTGTCTGCTTGGGCCAGTCACCTTTGAGCTAACTAATGGATCCCGCTGGCATGCCAGTTGTCTTCGAAGAGTGCCCATGCCTTCTGTTATGGAGGAAAACCTGAACCGGCCTATGGACCCCATTCTGCCGCCACTGAATCTGGATCCTGATGTAGTCACCGGATAGGAAGAACCGAACGCTGTCAGAGCCCACAATTTGCAGATGCCCCTACAACTCGCCCTGTGAGGACGAGGGCACGTCCTGCACACTTTCAGGACTTTGAAGCTAAGTTTCATACTTAAACTTGGTGGGAAGGGGAAAAACGTTGTGGTCGTTAACCAGTTCTTCATTGTTATTATCTGTTGTAGTATACTGTCGTGAAGTCATGCTGATGCGCATGCTTCACAGTTGTACCGTGTTCCGTGG